TGTTGGCTGTTCATTAAAGGCGCGGCGCAGGTGAGGAGAATGCATCCCGATGCCTTGATAGATTGTCTGCTCCCCTGTGGTGACAGCAGCTGGATGGATTGAACAGCGGGGGGCGAGGAGGGAGGAAAAAAAAGCGCTGACTCCGTCGCTCCCCTTGTCAGACACACTTTTACATGGCCGGCCAGTGTCATTTCTACCAAACAGCACCACACACACATGCACAAACAGGCTTCTGACAGTCTTTGGACTTAAGCCAGGAGCTCACCTTAATGCATGAATGCATACGCACAGTGAGCATACAAGTATTTACAGACACTGATGAGAAGATACTGAGACACACACACTGTACCGATGAGGTTTATCTTATTACACAGTTACCAACCTTGGGCTCTCAATGTTGAAAACACCATCCAAACACCACAACCTATAGGATAAAGTACACAATTTTAACTGTAACAGCTTTTGGCCAGTTACAAAATGTTCTAAAAATACAGTTAACTGCAACTTAAAAAATATAAACCTGGCAGTAACAGCTGAGTACCATTTGAAGCCACTGTACCATAAATACTAACTTTAATAACCAAAAAATATGTTCAAACAGGTACGCCTGTGTTGCTTAGCAACTTCTCTGGTAAGTTACTTTTTGAGGACTTTGTTGCTCAGAGTAAAGATAATCGTGTAATTGGTGTTATTATTTTGTACTAAGGAGAATCTCAACAGCAGCCGGCTGTGTGCTCAGTGGCTTGTGTGAACACATTTCTAATGCAAAGTGATTAGAGAAATTATGGCCAGTTTTTAATTTTTACTGAAGTAGAGAAATACAAGTTGGGATGGATACTAATTCACTAAAAGGAACTAACTCTGTATTGCATGAATGAATGAGTCAACACATACAAACAGATCACTAACATACAAATACTTATCAAGTATTATCGATATTGTCAATTTAAAACATAATGTTCTTTTTCACAACATTTGAATTTCTTCTTGTAGCTCCATTGATACGATAATGCAGTTTAATTAAATGACACAAGGCCAGCTGTTCTAAAATGGCAAAATATGGAGTAGATATTTTGGATGACTAATATTAGGGCACTTTAATAATGGAGATGTTTCAAAAGGCCTTTAACTGACAGTGTAGACCATGTACAATGACATCAACAATATAGTAAGTAAATTAAAAGCAGATTCAACTGCACCGTAAAGTACTGACGATACCAAAGTTAATTATCTAAATTGACTTGTCACAGATGCATTCTTTTCTGCAAGACTCTGACCCACGCGATTCTCCTGTGACACACAACATGAGCAGACAGTATAGTAAACCCTTTTTATACTGTGTGGACACACCTCATTAAGTCAATCAGCTTGGGTTGTAGAATATCAAAAATACAGCTCTACCTCTTAGAGCGGCGACGTAAGCCTTCATAATCAGCCATAAAATCTTTTATCACACCTCCTACATCAAGCGATAGATACATACGCTATGACAACATAAATACAGCTCTGCATCTATATCAGGCTTACATTATCCCCACAGTGTACCGCTTTTCAAGGAGCAACTACAAAATCCTACTTTCGACTTACTGTGGTCTCTAATTCCTCAGACACAAAAAAAGAAAGAAGAAATGGTACAATGTCTACATCTGCTCCAGGGTACAGTGCTGGCTCAAATTGATGTTTACCTACAGATATTTTTACATACCATCCTGACACCTAGCATAGAGCAGAAGAAGATAGCATATTGAAAAAGAGTTATTTCCATACACTTGGCAAATCAGTGTGACATAAAACAGCCCTGTATTATAGGACTCACTGCTCTTTGAATTACCTTTGACATTGTTCGGTCGTCTTTGTGTAAATTCTCATTACTTTCTCTCTTCATCCATCAACCCATCCATCGCTCTACCTCCATCTCCCACTCTAGCTTGCGACCTGTGTTTCTCTGTGTACCAATGACATGTAATGACAATGGCGTAAGCGCCGATCGATATGGGAGTGCTTCTAGCCCGCCTGGCCATGACGGACAGAGGCCGGCGTTGATAGCTGGGTGACAGGGACACTGTTGTACAGTGGCGGGACAAGGTTGGTGGGTGGAGGGGGGGAGTGGATGCAATTTCTCTGATGAATCTATATCCTTTACCTACTCGCCGGGCATAATCCATTGACGACAGGCTAATGAGCACTGCTTATGTTGACGTGCACAGTATGTGACAGCTGTCTTTTATTTCTCCTATAAAAGTGTCCAGGGGCCTCATTTATCAAACTATGCACAGTTCTTAATGTGTGCTTAGAGGAACTGCCCAAACACGATAGTTGGTATTAATCAAATGTGTGTACTTGTGCTTTTATTCTGGGAAAAATGAAAAATCTCACCTAGTCTACATTCTTGTGCGTACAAGCTTATTTACATAAAGAAACGCCCCCCAGAATGCCGTACGTGATCAACTCATCCATTTGAAGGCTCCAGAAGCCTTAATGTAGAGATACTTGCTGTGGACAAATGTAGTCCACAGTAAGAGAGATAAATATGAGCAACACTACAAATAATGAGCTTAAGATACAGGAGGAGGGGAAGTGTAGGAAGCTGATATTGTGGTATTCTGCACCGTGTCCTTCAACGTCACTATTCCAATACTTCATTTTTGTAATGCTAATTATTTATGAATGTTAAACTACACATGATCTGGCGTGCTCACCCGGTCAGGTTTCTCTTCTTTTCTTACCCAACTGTTTTATTTAACATCTTCAGAACTGATGTTGATAAAATTTGAACCAAGAATTGCCAAAACTAAAAGTAATTAACATTAAATAAAAACAATTAAAATAAAGCTATTAAATTATTGGTACATAAACACAACAGTTCTTTTTCAATGCAGATTAGTTACAATTGAATGAACCCTTAGAGATAAAATTAAATAGGTTTTGTGTAACTTAACATGGCACCATATTTAATAAAATATAATTTGATCCCCAACATAAAACAGTGAATGCACATCTTCAGAAGCAATGAAATATGTTACATGACTGTCAGAAGAGATGAGGTTTGCATGTGTAATGAAAATGTACTTATGATTACTGTAGGTGCACAGATTCTATGTGTAGAAATGAAAATGTGGTTTACAGACGGTTGATAAATGAGGCGCATGATTTTATTGAGCTTTGAGTTTTTAAGGCTCATGCTAGAAGTATAGCAATAACAGAAGGCTGACGTAAATATATCTAATAGTCCGACTGTGAGAGAACAGTCTGGAACAGTGGAGTCAGAGCAAACCCAAACCCAGTTATACAAATTGAAGGTGGCACGGTGAATGTGATTCAACGGTTGTAGAGGAGCGGCCTCAGATGCCAATTACATTACCTCGAAAAGAGAGGGGTTGAACTGAAGGATGGAGATCGAGAAGGACAGTGGAGGAGGAGGGGCTGGGGCGCTTTCACTCAAAGGAAAATTATTTATTTCATTGTGATATCAAAATCAATAGGCATCGATTGAAAGGTGGCTAAAGGTGAGCGTGTACATGATCCTTCAGCTGTGAGAGGCAGACTGTCCAAGAAAGGAGGGAGGAAGAGAGGGTGCGATGAAGAAAAAGACGGAAGAGGAGGAGGGAAAGAAAAAAAAAAAAAGAAAAAGAAGGGTGGCCAGAGGAAAAAGTCACCTCCTAGTTAACAAAGAGGGAACAGGGAAAAAGGAAGAGGAAGAGAGAAAGAAGGAAGGAAGAAAGAAAGAGACGAAGAGCGAAGGAGAAAGAGTGAGGGAGCTCTTGCCCAGTGGAATCAATACAGAGAGGTGGAGCAGAGTACAATAGCCTCAGAGGAGAGGAGATTCAGTGGTGCAAGTCTAATACTCTCTGTCTCATTCACACACACATGCATGCACACACACATACATTAACACATACACTCTCACCCCCTCTCTGAATCCTTTTTGCTTTCTCCTGACATTTCCCTCTATATCCTTCCTCTATTTAATTTCTTTCTCCTTCTCTCTTGCTTGCTTGCTCATTCTGTATCCGCCCTCCACCTCTCGCCACCCATACACCCACACGCACACACTTACACACTTACACACACACACACAGAGGGTCTGTCTGTATGCAGAGGGATGCAGAGCAGAAAGAAGGCCTTCTGTCCACAGCAGCTCACCACAACAGCAGCATCTTTCATCAAAACCAGACACTAAAAACCGACGCAATTATGAACAAACACACACGCATGCAAACAAGTGGTAAGAACCCACACACACACACATAAACATGGTGTTTCTTAGAAGACTGTCACTTTTGCACACATACTGCAGAGTCAGAGGCACTAGAATGCAAAGAGAAAGTGCCACATGAACACTTTAACACACACAGACAAAACAGCACACTCCAAAAACTACTCCAGCTCTATCAGCACTTGAGACTAGTGAGGCTTCAATTAGTTCTTGATGAATGAGCCCATAAGATGCCGCTCTCTCATTTCCCTTGTTGCCAGATATCCCAGCAATCAGAGAGAAATGAATTCTCATTGTGGCGTGACTGAGACGAAGATGACGGTGGTAGGGTGGTGGTGGTGGTGGTGGCGGTGGTGAGAGAGGATGTTGGGGGGGCACTAACATAAATCATTCACCCTCTCCTCTCAAGGCCACATTTAAGTTTCATCACGCTAAACGTGACAAGTCTTCCCTAATCTGAGATCTTTTATGATAGGACACAGCGCTCTGTGACAAAATATTGGACAAAGGAGTGTCACATGATGCAGTTTTCTAATTAAGATTTAAATCAAAAAAAATAATCTACAGTTAAAATTAAATTACCAGCTCACCCAGAAAGAGTCCTGTTAAAAATTAATATTTTGTTTTTGTAAATATTTAAAAACATTCCATGAATGTTGGATGCCAGAAAACTCACACCTGTATAACCGGTGTATTTTATTTAATATGAAAGCTGTACCGATGTAAATGGCTCAGTCAAGATAAGTGTGTGTGTGTGTGTGTGCTGCGTTGAAGTCAGACTCACCATCATCAATGATGCTGACCACTACTCCATTACCGGTAATGTTGTTCCTCCAGACCGGCATCACGTTCAGGTCAACCCCACTGGAGTTGTATTCACCCTGCGCAAACTACACACGCACACACAAACACGCACACACGCACACGCACACACAGAAAAACATTATAATCACAACTTGAAAAGGACAACTGTCATCTGTGTCTGTGGCACTCTTACACCCGAGCCACACTGCTCACCTCACGTGTGACAGTCGCAGAACCTTTAGCTTTTCATTTCAGCACTCATGTTAATAGCAACGCGGCACAGTTGTGGTTGCGGCGGCGCTTTATCTAGAGATTTGGCGTGTCAGCTTTTAAAATTTTTTTTTTATGTATACACGCATGATGTGTGGTTCTCAGCAAAAACAGAGATTTTGACAGTCGCACTGGTATCATACAAGCAACACTACACCTTTAACTACACTCACAATGCCTATTTCTATATTGTAGACAGGCAAAAGTGTAAAAAAGTGTGCTTTCTGGCCATTTTATTAAAAGCATTTTATTAAAGGAGAGAGTTGAGGCTACATGTTGTACTACATAGTCCTAGCAGAACTCCAGTGTAGGATATAATTACATTATGTCAATAGGTTAAGTGGACAGTAGGTGAAGGGCAGTATTTTTCCAGTGCTCTCTTTCTCTCTCCCACATTCTCTTGCTCTGAATGAGGGTAAACCAAACTCCATATAAATTAATATTATAATGAAATGAAATCAGACCTTATATTATTGATGGCCATTATCAAAGGCAAACTTAATGTAGAAAGCTAGTGCTGGCAGTAGCAGCGCTGCAGCAGCAGAGTGGACAGTCAAGTTAATTTCAGAGACCCATTGCCATAGCCAGAGATGGTGTACACTCTCCAAAAGAGGGGATATTTTTGTAAATAAAATTATGAAGAAATTAATTTTCTACTCATGACAAATTCCTTTGCTTAGTTTTCAGTTTTAGTCAATTCAAAGTAAATCATAAGGAGTGCAAGTATCAAAAAACATGGTAAGTAGTGTATCCATTGCTGGTACATATTGGGTTGTCTAGGGTATACAGATGTGTGTAAGTATGATACTTATTTCCAGTCAAGACTTGACTGTATATTATAGCCTGCAAGGTGTCAAATTATATGATTTTTTTCAGGGCTGATACCAATATTGAGTATTTGTGCTGTGGGGGGCATTGCTTAAGACCACAGAGTAACTACGGACAAAGCAAAATGGTGACTGCATCAAGACCAAAGTAGCTCTTTTTTTGAGAAATTAATTAATTTTATCTGGAGTCAATTAAAAAACAAACAAAGAAAAACAACAATACTGATAATACGAAAAATGCTGAATATCAAGTCTGATTATCAGCCAGGCTGAAAATCAGTAAGCTCCTACTGCCTGCTAATAATGTACTTCTTGGGCTACATACTGTACGTGAACATATTTGCTGCAGATCTGTGCTACATGTACATGAACGGATATATTTACCTAAGTCACCGGGTTGTGTGTTCATGTGAGAAAACTGGTGCTCATCCAGTGATGCACTCAGAAACAACATGTGGGTTCAGAGTGCTATAAGGAGCCCAAAGAGTTCATGGGCAAGTCACAGAGACAGATCTTTCATCCTTGCACCTCAAACCACAAATCTATCCACACACAAAAAACACAAATACGAACACATAAATCTGCCCGCTGCTGCACAGCAACGACCCCACAATTGTAACACAAAAGAACCACGGCAACAACTCCCATGAGCCTCAGTGGCCCCACAAACTACATACATTCACTTGAAGCTTAAATGTTGCATCTGCATTCAAACACATGCTCACTGACAGACAAACATACACTTAAAGGTAGTGCGAAAAAAGGCAGCGCACAAACTGTCTTACCAAAAATGTCAGCAGCTTCCCAACACTCTCCTGCCCACACACACACACACACACACACAAGCAATTTGATATTCAAAATGAGTGTTTCAAGAGGCTTCAACTCTGTTGTTGTTATCATGATGAAGAGAGAGCACGAGAAAGAGGGGAAGAGAAAGCACAATGGGAAAAAATGGCTCAGTAGGGGGGTAGGATGTGTGTGTGTGTGTGTGTGTGTGTTTGTGCACGCATTTGTATGTGTGTTTGGGGGGTTGCATCTGGGGAGTAGCATTGCTTTGTAGTGTGTACGAATAAAGCAGATGAATGGAAGCAGCTAGCAGGCTAACGTCCACCGGAGCACGAGGACTGGCCCTGGGGAGACCACATACACACAGACACACACATCTTGCACACAAACAAGGTACACTAGAACATATGTGTGCAAAAAAAAAAAAAAACAGACACACACCTCTGTGAACTTGGATATAAGCCCACAGAGAGGCATCTTGAACGCTGATTCACTTCACTCACACACACACACACACACACTCATGAAGTGATGGCCAACAACACAAGCTTCTCTCCCTCTCACACGCGCACACACACACACACACACACACGCACACACACACACGCACACACACACACACACACACGTGAACACACACACACACACACACACGTGAACACACACAGAATCATGCACAGAATGATAATCGTTCTCTGAAGCACTGGAATATAACAGTCCTGTCTCTCAAGCATATACACATTTGTGCACACACACACACACGTATATACATACACACATATAGGGAGTTGTGAAAAGTTCACGCGACAATATAGCACAAAACAAACACCCATACACACTTTCTCTATGCACAAGGCAAATATGTAAACAGAACGACGACAAAACAGTCTCTTGCTTCTCTGCCTTTATCTCAGCTGCCCCTCAGCGAAAGTATACAAACACACACACATACCCACACCAGGGTTTTTCTTGGAGCAGAATGGGCCTTTGGAGGGTGTAACTACACATAAAAGTAAGCATGATTAGTCTGTGTACAGCACAGGCAAGGAAGATTTTTCTACTATTGCTGACCATTTGATAAACAAAAATTGTATATAATAGCTGAGCAAATGAGACGTCAATTAACAAAAGTGGTAAAAACACTGACTTGCCATTTTATTCTCAGTTGTTATCATTTTGATGCTGGTGATTTTCCTTTGGGGCTGGCTGAGACCTCTTTGGGAAGCACCGAAAATTCTGCAATGTAGGGAAAAACCCTTCACGCACACACCATCCACAGCAACCACGGTTCATGAAGCTGTATGGATTTTAGCAGCTTTGAACGAGCTCCTCTGGAGGAGTTGAACTCAGCCTTGGTGAGGGCACAATAGGCTGCACTTTTCTGATGTGTGTGTGTGTGTGAGTGTGTGTATGCTTCTCGCTGATCATGTACACACCAGCTTTTAGTGAACATAAAGCTAGCATGCACACACATATATTTGTCTGGTCCTGGCAGACTACTAACCCTGAGCAGATTACTGACCCTCAATCAATATCTACGTCCACCAGAGGCTGATTAAACACAACAGAACGAAGGCAGGAGAGGAAGGCGAGCGAGTGGGAGAGAGAAACAAAGATGACTGAGTGATTGATAATTATGCTCTGTGATTCAATTTTTGCAATCAGCATATATAGCTAAAGTGAACTATACAGTATAATCTGTTCAGTATCGTGTTATAGTATGTGCTGTAGAACATACATCAAGATACAACAATCTTGTTGAGACTTTCTGAATTATTGAGGTGGACTACTTGCTTTAATATGAAGAAAAGCACAGTCAAATTTTTCTTTCACTTCTGCCTAATATTCCCCTACCTTCTCTCCGCACTTCCTCCATTTCTGTCTCAACCAACCTCCGCCCCATCCTGACTCTCGCCCCTCCATCTTGCCCCAAGAGCTGAGCTGTCAGTCAATCTGTTACTGGTTGCCGTGGTGAATCTCTGACCCCGCCTCTCCTCCTCCTCGTTCTGCCAGATTACTGCCTCACATGTCAGTCTAGAACATGCGCCGTGTCCATTGGCTGAGCCTTGCTGCCCTGCTAGACAAGTGCGTATCCTTGGCAATAGCACCCCAGAGGTTTATTAGAAATACAGATTAAAATGATGCTGTTAACTATAATCTGGTAAGAATAAACGAATTATCAAAGTATATTGAGCTTTTGTGGCAAACAGAAACTGCTGTCAAATTATTTAACTTAATTTTAAAATCCTAAAAACATTTCTAGATAAACATGCTCAATAAGGCGTCTGTTCATATGCTTCAAATAAGCAGCCATAAAGACTAACTACAATGGTGCACAGCTACTGTACTGTATAGATGGAAACACGCTGATCATTAAGCACTCTTATCAGTGCGTATCGAACTTCAATATTTTCTTGGTACCAACACAAATGTGAAGCTGCAGTAACTTAGTAGGCAACACAGCTCAAACAGGTATGAAATTAGCAACTAGTGGGAAAACAGTGAAACAGGCATCCAAACGTAAGATTTATCCGAACTAAAAGCATGTGACTGTATCAAGCTAGACTGGTGACCAAGAGACAGACAAAGCCAGACCTCTTGAATGTCAGACACACCAGCGTGACCAATGAAATTATTCCATCACAGTTGACAGATTTTTGGTTGCATGTTCAACCAAAATGGTGGTACATGTTTCACCGTTTGGGAATTACAGCCATTTAATACATAGTTGCTCCATTATTATATAAGACGCCAAACTAACATAATTATTATGCCTTTAGGTCAATGGCTGCCTGAAGTCTGGAAAACATGGACATCCTCAGATGCTGAGTTCCTCCCTCGAGATGCGTTGCCAGGCCTTTACTGCAGTTGCTGCTTGATTGCTGCTCTTTCTGCTTTTCAGTTTTGTCTTTAGGTAAAAGCAGCTGAGTTTGCTTGAGGTCAGATGAATAACTTGGCTATTTAAGAACATTGCATTTCTTTGCCTTAAGAAGCTCTTGGGTTGTTTCCGCAGTAGGTTTTGTGTCATTATCCATCTGTACTGTGAGGCGCCGCCTGATCAGGTTTGCAGCATTTGACTGACTCTGAGCAGGAAGTCCAGCTCTATACACCTCAGAATTTATCCTGCTACCTCTATCAGCAGTCACATCCTCGATAAACACAAGTGACTAAGTTCCATTGACAACCACACATGTCCATGCTATAACTACAGCTGCACTATGTTTGACAGATGATGTGCTTTGGATCATGAGCCCCTCCTTTCCTTCTATACACTCTTGTCTTCTTGTCATGCTGGTACTAGTTCATCTGGTTTCATCTGCCCAAAAAAGTCTTTGTTTGAGATGTTTTTTTTAGCAAACACTATCCTCGCCTTTCTGTTTTCTTTAATGTTTTTTTTTCCTTTCTAAAATCTATTCATTGATTTTACACGAGTATTGTATACAATAAACAATAACTCCAGAATACAGGGATAAGTCAGTCTACGTTAAACAGGTGAAACAAAACAACAACAGCAAAAAAAAAAAAAAAGGTAACCAGAACAAGCGTTTGCATCTTGAGACAAACTCTCTGTATTTACATTTATGAAGGCATCTCTTGATTGTAGACTTTGACAATGATACACCTGCCTCTCTGCCTGAGCTCACCTGTGCCATTCCTTTTTTAAAGAATGTACCAAATTGTTCATTTGACTCCTTAAGTTTCAGCTGTCTTTCTGCTATTTTGATTTTGAATGGAATAGCAGTGTCCTTCAGGTGCATCAACACCTCTAAAACCACATATTGAGAATTCCCACGGACATCCTCCAAATGTAAATTAAACTCTTCGACTGAACTACAGAATCGACATGTGCTTAATTTGTCAGACAATTAAGAACAAAAACAGTAACAAAAATGTCAGAAAAATGCAATATTATTCTTAAATTAAATGAATTAAAACTAAAAGTCTACACTTCAATCACATCTTGTTTACTTAATTTCAGATCCACTGTGGTGGTGAACACAAGCAAAATTACAAAAATTGCACCCCTGACCGTAAATAAATGAATCCTCTGGATTATACAAGCACTTAAAGGAAACATGATTCTGATCAAAGTGCTGATATGAGGCTTTTTTACACTGGTTGAGTTTTATTTCTGATTATTAATTGATTAAAATGCTGTAAGTTTAACTACTGGATAGTCTGTACTGATGTTGGTATTTTGTGCTGGCATTCTAAGGTAAAGATGAAATTGTCATACGGAACCATACTGTTGCTTTACCCCTTTAGGTCTTCACAATGTTGGCTGGAAAGCATGAACAAGACTCAGCTGAAAGGATAAGCATGTCTTGCTGTTGCAGCCCAGTTGTGTGTCAGTGTTGCTGTGAGCCTCATCAATCTCCGACATCTGTCTCAGTTCAACATGGACAACCCCATTCACCTCCTCTCTCTCCCTCGCTTTCTGTCTCCATGATCTCCCTATCTCTCTATCTTCTGTGTCTCTCTCTCCAGTCACACATGAAAGCCTGCCTGACTTATGCCTGTCAGAGGAACATCCTTCAACATGAAGACGAGACGAGAGGAGAGAAGGGAGACTTCCACATAAGACCAATGAACACACACATACACACACATAATTACACCCACCAGCTCCCACTGCATGGGCCAGAGTGGGTCATTGAAGGTGAGGGACTGGTCACTCGTATTCTCCTCAGGCTGCCTGTCAGATTCAGACTCCGTCCTCTGGGAACCTGCAAGCACACAGATCTATCATGTGTGTATGTGTGCGTGTAGTTCTTCTTTCCTTGTCTTGAACTCTGACTTCAGGACATCCTTGGTCTCCAACCAATGGTTAAAGCCCTTCCAGATCCCCCTCCACAGAGGTGGAATACTGCCGGCAGATTACCATATCATTAGCATATAATTAACATCTCATTACTGTAGCACAGCTTGGCTCGCTGTCTGTGGACGTGCCATCAGCTCATCAAGGTTTGCACCTTTCTCTCCATATACTTCATGTTACACACACTGCTTCTCAGTTTTATTACATTTCTCACCCTAATTCAGCACTCCCTTTCAATGCTATTCACTTTTTCTTCAGCCCTCTCTCGCATATGATAGATATGAATCAGTTTGTTCCATAATTTACTGTATGTACTGCTGAATTAATTAATATCACACTAGCCTTTTCTGAACTGGCTGCTATAAAACATTGCACACAAGCATGTATGAATATATTTCAAGCATTATTAATTAGGGGCAATTTGGTCCTGAACCATTTGATTTGGTACACAACTTTCTACGGTTCAGTATTCCTGTGGACCAAATAATTACACATGCATTACCCTGATTGGGGAGCATGTCTTAGCACATGTAAAACGTAAATTATAAAATTAGCTCCTGGATGCATAACTCATTCATAGAGTGCTATTCATGTGACAAACACAAATAATAGATCGGATGAGCTCTATTGTTTGGGAGTTCTACAGTTTCCAGTAAGCTTCTTTGACATTGGACAAATAGCAGTGGACAAACTCTGTGTGGTAAACTGAAGTTGGGTGCATTACAAGCATTTATCCTGGCTTGTGTTAAATCTGACATGTATAAATTAATGTCTAAATAAATGCGTTTTTATTGAGGGCCTCTGAGTTGAACAGACTAACAGAAAGAGTCGATACCAATACTGGATATTAATCAGAGAGACTAATAACAGATATTTAGAATTAATTCACTAGCAACAAATGTGAAAATCTTGTCATCACAATTCAGTTAAAATGACTTTGTTTACATATGTTCTACATATGTTTAAATAAAAGTTTTCAGTGTTTATCCTGTACTGTTGATAGATCATGACTCCTAACATGTAACCAATCAGAATTGACTACAGACTAAACTACAGACAGACAAAGGCCAAAGTAGCACATATTTAAATA